TTAGGGCTTCCAAAACTGGCTCAGCAAGCCGTGGTTCGAGGTCGGAGAAACGAGTATTCGTTAAAGCTTTGTTCTGATTCGCCGACGCCATGCCCGCCGCACTCGCTAGTTTTTCTTCAACCCAACTGTGCTAGTAATTACAACCGACCGAGTCGAATAAGAACCGATTTACAAAGTTTTTCCGGTCCGGTTTGGCTGCTACCCGGTTTACTCTTGTATATTAAAAATAATTTCTACTTTCCCATCAACAAAAAGTTTTCGTTTTCATTTAATTTAATATTATTAAATACTTTTACTATAATTTCATAGATAATTCTAAAATTCATAAAATGAGATGACGCTGTTCAAATATCCTAATTTAAACACATTAAATTCAAACAATTATGAAAATGTAATATAAATTTGACAATTAATTAAAAACCCATTATGGAGATTCTCTAAAAAAGAAGAACAACAACACCGTTCTTCCAATTCTATGCTTATCATTAAATAATTTAAGATGCTGGTAATCAAATTTAAATTTCTGAAGTATACTAAATAAACTTCATTCTATTACTTCTCTATTTATTTTTTAATTTGAAAAAATAACACCCTGAAATTAGATAATGAAATATTTGAAAGGTAGTGAAATCAAGTATATATTTTTGTAATTCTTTTTATTTATACAATTTTTTCCAGCAATCATTTATAAAGTGATATCAACTTCTCTAAAGAAGACAAAATTACCAACAAAATTCATAAATGTTGTAGTTAGTGAAGATTTTCTTACCATACATATTTTGTACAAAAATTACGTCGTATATAATTAATATATATATATATATATATATATTAACACATCTTGATACATGTAAAATGATTAGTGTAGTGGTTAAGAGAAAGTTGTATGTTTAAGCCTTGTTGGGCTCATAATTATTACTCTTTCCGTTTCACAAAGAATTGTCTAGTTTGACTTGACACGAAATTTAATAAAATAAAATAGAGTATAGTTATATCAAATGTACAAAATTACTCTTTAATTTTGCGACCTTAAACATGGCACATGAAAAAAATATATTAAAATATCACGTGAAAAATTGAAATTAAAATATTACCATAAAAAAAAATTCATTCTTATTAAAATAGACCAAAAAAAGCCAGTCTTTTTAAAGCGCGAAGAGTACTTTTCGTTGACACCCTCCGTGAAAATTTATAGAGGTATCTCAATTGTTACTACCTAGCTTCCCTACCAAATAATCTATACTATAGTAAAAGTATAAAGATTATTAAAAATATAGATTGGATTTTTTATTTTTTATTTAAAAGTTTTATAATAAACAAAATTATTATTTTTGTCCTCTTTGTATATGTTTTATTATAAATTAATATGTTTAAAACACATACACTTGACTAGTATTTATTTATTACATAAAAGTTGTGTTTCCATTTGAAAACACAACTTTGAGACCCTACTAAGTCAATATCTAGTCAAACTAATGATTCAAATTTATTCAGGTTTACATTTCAACAATATTTGCTTGAATTGAAAAGAAAATACCTTTGAATTGAACCCCACATACAAAATAGACTATACATTAAAAGTGGTAGTTAATTCAACATTATTTACATGAAAAAAATTGCACCATGCGTATATGTTATATATTCACTTTACATAAATATATTAAAATTTGAGGATATTTTAACGAAATTTTGAGAATATTCTAAATTTGAATCAATTATATGAACTTGAGTTGGGGTATATAATTAGTGGCAGTATTATACTTTCTCCGTTCAATAATAAAATGTTCGACAATATTTGTTCATTTTATCAAATTAATAGATAATTTTATTCTTAGTTCCTATTTTATTATTACATTTTTTAAGATATCGTATTTATTATATTCAAAGGGTGATATAGTTTTACTCTTCTATTTATAGTTTTTAAAAAAATATTTAAGTTAATAATGAACAAGTATTATTGAACAGAAAAAATAATTTCTTAAGAAGTGTGCAAAGTCATAAATAAATATTATTCTATTGATTCAATGTATTTAATAATCCTAAATCTCACTTTTTTTTAATAAAAAAAAACTAAATAAATTGGTTGTCATAATTGACCAATGCATGTGACACAAAGGAACATTATATTATAGTGTGCAATAAAAACGATTCTATAATGCTTTTTTCCTTTTGAAAATAAAGATTAGACGATGACAGAAAGAAATTGGGCCCCAAATTAATTCCTTTATACCAATAATCAATAATGAGTGCTTTTACTAAATAGATTTTAAACCAATAATATTAATACCCACGTGATTTTTATGTAACATAGATTATAATGCTTTTAGGAGCGTCTTTACTTTTGCTTCCACTTAACATAATCTTTATCCTTAATTAATTGTCAATGTGCTCTCCATTATACACCTTCCAATTAAAAAAATTTCTGGTTTAAAGACATATATACCCCTCTACGTGAATAAAAGAAAAAAAAATAATTTGGAAGAAAGAAAAGTAAACTGATTACCAATCTAATAATATATTTATTTTTAATTTATCTAAGAAACATATTTCATCTGTCCCTATTTAGTTATTTACTTTAGAAAATGTACACATATTAAGATAACAATAACTAACATAGTAAAATTATAATTATACTCTTATTAAATATGATTTCAAAAAGGATGAATTAAAACATAGAAATTTTCAAGAAATTTAAATGAGGGTATAATAATTTTTTTTTGTCATTTCTTAATTTATCAAAATAAACAAGTAAATAGAGACAAAATATGAACAAGTAAATAGAATACTATAATTAAAAATAATTACGTTTAATGAAATAATTTATCACCCGGAGAACAGCAAGGGCAATATCGTCAACACAATCATAACTACAATAATGGAGATAAAAGATAAGGAATGGCACATATAGTAAATTTACTTAATGCGAGAGGTAATATTAACAACTCAGTTCTATATATAGGTGTACCATTCACGTTCTTCACAAATCAAAACAATCAATCAACCGACGGCAACTCAAATCACCGGAGCAATCACCGGCGACGAAATAGTCAATACAATTCACTACCAGTAAAAAGACATCGGAGAATTTCATTTTCAAAGATGGCCGGAGCAAGAAAAGAGACAATGATGATGAATGGAGGAAGCATATCAAGAAGGGAGGAATATGGGCGACCAATTCCAAAAAGAGGGCAAGTGAAGATGACCATAGTTTTGGGCTTAGCTCACTCTTTAACTTCTATTTTCTCCACCGGTGACCGATCTGAGTCTGGCCGGAGAACAACGCATCTCCCTTGAGTTCGCCGATGGAGACGGAGTGTATCAGTTTTGGTAAATTTAGATAGTTTTGAAGGGTATTATAGTCCTTGTAGGAAGCTCAAATCTTTCTTGTGTACAACTTTTTCTTAATTTTACAAGTTCCGTCTGTACATACTAATTTTAGTTGTTAGGTCCATTGTCGTGTATATACTTTGGGAGTCAATTTTCATTTATTCGAGAACTAGGCGTTGATCATGTCATATTATATCACTATATAATATTATGAAATGAAATTAGTATTTGTATACGCGATTTTTAAGTTGATTTCATTTCATGATTCTATATTTTTCAAAAATATGATATGGAAATACAATATAATATGATGATTTGAGATATTTTTGATACAAAGATTAATTCAAAAATTTATATTTTGTTAAAAACTCACATTTTTATTTACTAAATCATTTATTTTATATGTAAATAAAATTTATAATGAATGTCATTACTTTTTAAATTTTATTATTTTCATCAACATAATTTTTTTTTAATATCAATATATAGTTAATTTAATGCACATTGTTGAGTAATATTGAAAACTAATACACTATAATTTATGTTCGATTTTTTATTGAATTAAAATTTGGTGAATTAAAATTAGATGAAACAATTACTTAATTAGAAAACAAATAGCAATGTAATAATATATTATATAATGTTATAATTTTTTGTTTATTTGAAAAGATCGAGTAAATAATTGAAGATATCTTCATAATTTTTAATTTTATCCAAAAAAAAAAAAAAGGACACATTAACTATTTATATATTGAAATGGTTGGCTTTTCTCATCATTACATCAATTCTTTATCCACTAGAACTAGGTATAACTATACCAACAAATTTTTTTGATGTGAAACTCAGATATTTTTTTTTAAAAAAATTGGATGAGATTTGATTGTTCTAGAATTAAAATTCGTAATCAATTAGTTTATGAATATTTAACCCAAAAGATGAACGTGGAGCATATTATTAAATAGTAAAATAGAAAAAAAATTATTCATAAACTAATTCTCATAGGTCAAAGGTATTTTTGACCTTTGTCTTTACAAAAATAAGTTCAAATTATTGTTAGTTTATGAAAATTATTATGGTAAAATATAAATGTCATACATATAGGACACACAATGTTTATATTTTAAAACTAGGCTACTAGACTTTATTGTGTTCCCATGTTTTTCTTGCATAAATTTAAATACACACATCACTTGATCTAATGTCCAAATTCCATTGAAATGGATGATTAATAATGATTCAGGGCCCGTTTGGATGGGCTTAATAAAAGCAGCTTTAAAAAAGTATTTTTGAAAGTGCTGAAACTTATTTTTAAAATAAGCAGTTATGCGTTTGGATAAAAGTGCTGAAGTTGTTATGCCAAACGTGAAAAGGAAAAAATAGAAGAAAGAGATGTTAGGGTTATATTGGTAATTTGGAGATTGTATAAAAATATTAAGGGAAAAAAACATAAAAATGTGGTCAACTTAAAACAGCTTATAAGCTAAAACAAAAAAGCACCCCTACCCACCTTTTAACTTTTGGCTTAAAATAAGTTTTTTTAAACTTAAAATAAGCTATTTTGAGTATTGCCAAACAGTTAAATAAGTCAAAAATCAGTTTTTAAGTCAGCTTTTAAGCTGAGCTAAACAGGCTCTCAGTATAATGTTCCATGTTCTTTGAAATATTGTTATGAATACTTAACAAAAATAATATGTGACATAATATTTAATAACGTTTTGAAATGATGTAACATTATAACTCTAACGTCGTCAAAGATCCCTTGCCCCAACCCTCATAATTCCATTTTGACAAAGCACTTTTTCCCCCTTTTCTTTTTCAATCCTCAAAGATATTAACATTATTGATAACACTACAAGGTAGGTTATTAGAAGTGTTCAAAAAATGGATCAAGAACATGAAAATCCTACTAGAAGTGGTAGTTTATCCTATCTTAGTATTGTCTCTGCCAAAGATTAACGTTGTTCCCCAGTTCATAGCCACGTAAAACCTGTTCCTCCAGCTGATAACTCGAGTCAGATACGCGGACCGCCAAATAAGCCAGCTCGTGAAGCCTGCTAATGAGACACCCTTCTCACCCTGACAAACAAAATAAAGATCAAAACATAGTATGGAAAGGTACATATACACAGGACAAGCTCTTTCCTGATTGATATTACACGAAGAGACGAATCCAAGATGTAGAGTCACTGAGTCCAACAACCCCGACTGACTAAATGTTTTGGTCGATGAGTAATAGAGATGATGATGGATATAATGTACCTTAGCTTGACGGAGATCAACAAGAGCCTTGTAACGCCCCACAGTTGCCATGCTTCCAAGATGCTTGTAAACAAATGGATCTCCTAGAGTGATGTCTTTGGCTGAGAGAGCTTTGCCTCCATTCTGTTTCCCAATGTCGGTGAACAATTTAACAAGATACTTCCCTTGCCTTTCAGCAACCTGTTAAAAAAATTGCACTTTGAGAAAAATTTTGTACTCCTCCGTCATTTTTCAAGAAAATGTAGTAGTTTCTCAAGATAACTCAATTCTTGAAACCCAAGAAGAAGGATAGGGGTAAATATCTACTCCTAGTTATGTCTAATACACGACAACAAGACGGCTTCTTGTATTCTTGTAGTAGAAAAGGATGACTGGTCAACTTTCAAGTAACATAATCACTGTAATCCTTGACAGCATGCAACTTTAAGGTTGTTCACTAAAACTCAGGCCTCAGTCAAGTTCATAAACGGTTGCAATTGAGGCCATTCCACATAAAACTAAGCGTGATCAAGAAGAAAAAAACATGCAAAGTACTACAGGAAAAAAGATCTGGGCAGGAGAAATGCAAATGCATAAGAATAACATGGACGGACAAATCAAGGACGTATCAGGAAATTATACTGACCTGAGCAAGAGCCGGAAGCACCGGCTTTCCAGTCTGTTCAAGAAAACCAGCACAATCTCCTATAGCAAACACATCTTCTACGGAAGGAACTCGCAACCATTCATCAATTCCAATCCTGTAACATGTCTTAGGATTAGTTGACTAGATACAGAAGAGTGAACGAAGGACCACAAAGCACCTAAGTTGTTGGAGAAGTTAAAACTTTGTACCTTCCACCAGGAGACTTGGGAACATTTAGTGATTTAACAAAATTGGAAGGACCAACTCCAGTAGACCAAACGAGAAGGCCATATGGAACATCACTTCCATCACTGAGAACTATTTTATCTGGATGTACTTCTTTTACAACACCATGAACAAGGCGGACACCAACCTGATATGTATGAAATTTTGCTCACAGAAACTGAAGAAACTTCTTTCTTGATGCAAAGCAATTGAAGGATTCATTACCTTGGTCAAATGCTTTGTCGCATACTCCCGCAACCCAACATCAAATGAAGACAAAATCTCATTAGCCTGTCCATGGAAAGTGTTACTAGACCATACTCAACAGTCAACATAATGATATTTTCTCTGCAATTTTAGGTTTACCCATATACAGCTGGATATTTACCTCAATGAGGGTCACATGAATGTAGTTTTTGACATGAGCATAACGTTCGCGTACATCTCTCATAATAAAATCACTTAGCTCCCCGCTGAATTCAACCCCTGTAGGTCCACCTCCAATCACAACACAGTGCAACAAGCGCTCTTTCTCTTCTTCCGAGATGCCTGCAATTATACACATGCACAAAATTTATACTACATTCAATTTACTATTGTGAAGTTGATGTCATATATTATCCTACAGAGTCCAGATCTACCAAAGAAGTCTGGTACGTCTAGAGTAAAGACTATGGAACATGGGGGAATAACCTGGAGTTTCTGAGACCATCAAGTTCATAAGAAGCTTCTTCCTGATTTCTTGGGCATTCTGTACTTCACGGAGAAAGAAGGCATGTTCCTCCACTCCCTTTATGCCAAAGGTCAAAGGTTCAGCTCCAGAAGCAATGACAAGCTTGTCATATGCAACCTTAAATCTGTAATGCTCATGAGAGACTCCACGATCGCCAACCGTTTCACAGTATACCTGTATTGTGTCTTCTCAAATCAAAACACACACAAACATAATAGATGGAACACAATAATAAGTTGAATGCAGTTTAAACAAAGTCCCTTTCCCTTTAACTACTTGAATGTATTGCTCTAATAATTCTCTGGTCGGTATGCCATTTACCTAGGACTCTGTCCTAATTTCCTAAAAAACATTACCTGAATGGATGTAGGTAATCATGTCTATATATTTGATCAAATTGAAAAGAGGAATTATATGTTGTAATTGAGACATATTTTGGATGTGAGAAATAATAAGAGCTTGTTATACTCACTTCATGTTTATCAGCATCAACACCAGTGCAGGATGCTAGGAAGAAATATGAATTTGGATCCTTTGCCAGTGCTTTCTGTATCTGGGTGACTGGTTCAGCAACTGATCGGAATTCCAATGTTCCAACACAAGTAGATGCAAGCAATGGTGTAAAGACCATATGGTTTCTTGGTGCTATACAAACAACATCATACATACTAGTGTCTATTCCTTTGAGGAATCTGCAAGCGGCCCAACCAGATCCAAGAACAACTACTCTAGGTTTTTCGCCCTGTTTTGTTGCTTCAAGGCCTGGATAACTGGATCTTTCATTCTTTGAATCAGCACCCCCAACCGTCTCAGCTGCTGCATGTGGAAACTGATATTGAGGGGTAAACTTCATTCCTCTGTTCCCGAAACTTAATTGATTTATCATCTGGGTACTTGGAATGTATGATGAATTGAAACCTGTTACAGCTTTTTCAAAAACTGGCGCAGGATGTCTAAATGGTGATATGCCTTCACAGAATATATTTCTCTCACTTGCATAGTTTCCGATTGCACCTCCAGAACGCCTAAAGCTACTCCTTGCAGCCCTTACCAATGCCATTTTCAGAGTACCCCTTACCGAAGCTGATACTGTTGAAATTTTTTATTAAGGCAATTACTGTTTGGACTATAGATGGTATGCAATGTTTAAGAATGACACTGAAAAAAGGAAGAAAGTAGATGTGAGCTCTCAATACGAAGCTGCAATACACTCATAAAAAAGATCCCAGTAAGTGTGGAAAAATAAAAACAATAAACATTGAAGTTAAGCGTATCAGTCAAGGACAAGACAAAAGCAAGACAAAGATGGTTCCTAAACCAACTAGCAGAAACAGGAAAGACAAAATTTGCATTTCTACACTGTGGCAGTTTCAGTGTGAAGTGTTCTCGCAAAATTCTTAGTATGGATGCAGATATAAAACACCTGGATTCACAATACACCATGATCTTGCATACACTCACTACAATCTCAGTACTCTAGACAAATATGACCAGTTAGTGCCAAATTCCAAAATTGGTAGCAGATTTTACAAGAATCTGGTCAAGAAAATGAAGAGTGCAACCATACTTACTATGCCAATTTCAATTTGAAGTTTATTTGCTCAGGCTTTGCTAATACATACCAGATATGAATTTCGCATTTGAATTCTCTCTAGTCAGTCTGTGTATGAAATCCAAACCTCTGTCAAGATGATGATATCATTGCACAACAACTTGATGGTACATATAAAACTCCAATAACATTATAGGTTATGCATTTCATTGCTTCAAATCTTAAAACAAACTATTTGTTGACACAAGGTTACTAACAATCAGCAAAAGTTCGTTGGATTAAATTTCTGAACACGACATACTTAAGTTCAAATTTGGAATGGCAGAACACACGTCTAGCAATGGAAGAAATGTGATCGCCATCAATGCAAGCAATCCATATTAAGTTATATGATTAGTTAGCAACTAAAAGGTTCAATCTTCTATACAAGAAAATATCTAATTCTACAAATATATTAGCTTGAACCATCAAAAGTAAAAACTAGAAGCAAAATCAAGAGGTACACCAAAAAGAATCAGTCGAAGAAACCAATGACAGCATTACGGAATTAAAAACGATTGTAAACATCAGCCTACCAAAATCTGCTACACATAATTTGACATTCGAATTTCTACAACCAAAATGGACAAGAAGAAAAACAAACATCTTTAACTTAGATATCTTGGACAATCCTTCCCTCGTGAGCTATATCTCGGATTGAGTTAGCTTATGCCAAAATAGATCAAGAGAGGAGCGGATTAACAGTATTGAGCTTAATATGTCAAAATATTAATTTTTTTAACCTAGTAACAGAAATAGTTTATGGGTTCAATTGAATCCTGGATCCACCCTTAGATCAAGAACACCTATGTGTTCAATATATAACATCATACTCAAAAATAGCAGTAAAAACTTGCACATGATTAATTACATACTCATAAGGTCACAACATAAGTTTCAATAATGATGAAACTGTACATGGTACAATCAAGATCCAGCATAATATATGTATATATACATTAGAAAAGCCTCAAGAAATCAGAACAAGAAAAAAAGGAATTACCTTTAGGAATTTAAAGAAGAAGATGAAACCCCATAAGAAATTTTCCAGGATATTAGGAGTCAACAGTATTACTTTTACACTTCAAAAAAAAGACCCTCTTTAATTTTATATAGACAAAACCTTGATCAGCAAGAAAATATTGGTCAAAATCTGATGCATTTTTTTTTTCTAATGTAAAACAAAAAGGGTATGGAGAAATCACAAATACAAGTTCTCTACTGCTATAATTTAAACATTTGGGTGATTTGCTGCAAAATATGTATGCAACTGTAGATGAAGGCAAAATGAAAGAGGCAACTCTGCCATTTCGGTGGAACAAACGACACGTTTTGGTTTTTTTCTTAGGTCAATTAAGGAGTGCTAATTAGCGAATATGATAATTAATTACATATTACGTCATGGCCTGTGTACGTTGCTAACAAATTATTAAACCTCCCTGTGATCGGGTAAAACTATCTCTATCGGATATTTATATCAAGCCAATATATGCATGTCATGTATTTAAATTTATATTTTATTTTACTTCACTAAATCACGTAATAATAAAAAATTGTATTAATTTAATATAAACACTAAATTCGAGTAAATTTTCTCTATTATCTATTTGTTATAATAGTATTTTATTATAATGGTTTGATTTTCAATCGGTTCGATTTTTGTGTACTTTTATTTATAATACCTAAATATCATTTTATAATTTTACATATTTTAATTTATAATAGTTAAATGACACTTATACGTCGTACATACCTACCTCACTATAATCATCATAAAATTTTCATATAAAAGTTCTCATTTTAGAGAAGTTTAACTGTGTACATTTGGTAAATTTTCTTCATTAGTTTCAATTTATGTGATAGTAATTAAATTGAAATAAAAATAAAATATTATTTAAAACTTAAATTATTTTTTTAATATAAAAAATTATCTTTAGACAGCCTAATAATGTAGAGAATAACACTATACATGGCTTTAATAATTGATTACATACATACAATAATTAATAAATGAGAGAAATCAAAATCTTCTAGAACGAAATTCGTTTTCAATCACCTAAAAGAATTTGGCTTCGAAAATTCAGAATGTTCCAGTGATGTTTAAATAAATACATCTAGAACACACCATGCAATTATACAAACGTAGAAGCAAAGGCTAATTAAATAGTATAACAATAAGGATTTAGCTTAAATTACATACATTGTCAAGATTAATTTTTTTTAAAAAAGTATCGTTGCAATTTAATACCATATTAGTAATAGTAAATTAGTTGTACTTTTTTTTATCAAGTTATTAACAATTCTACACTATTTTATTTTATTTTTCACTATTTTTTAAAAAATTAATTAATTACAAAGAGATATATCATTATAATTTTTCTTAATTAAAACTTTTATCATTTGGTGGTATTAGCTCTAATACCATGGGACTAATCTAGGTAAAGACAAAAATACCCCCTCAAATCCTTTTAATCTTTTTTTATGAATTTATATTTTATATTTATAATAATAAATTTATTTAAATAAATTAGCTTACAAATTTTTGTTATTTAGATATAATTTTTTATTTCTAAAATATGAGTTATTTAATCTATCAATTATTAATATAAAATATTATAATCCGACTAATATGCTAATGTTGATGTATGAATTTAAGAACGATTCATAAATAAAATATTCTCTCTTTTTGAAAGTCCATTAAAATACACAAGTAGTCTAAAACAAGAGTGTATATATATACACACACAGAGCTCGTCTCGAGTATAAAAATAGTTTAAATTATTTTGCTATGTTTATTTTTTATTTTTATTTTATTTTATGATAAAGAGTCTTTTTAAAAATTATTTATACAAAACAAAGTTTTATAAATTTTCTCTATAAATCATTATAGTTGTATGACCTTTTGAGATATTAACTCCAATATATTAAGATGACAATTATTTATTCTCAAATAATTTAAGTGAAAAAATAGTGAACATGATAATAAAATTTAGCAAGTTAAAAATGTAATAAAAAATAATATTCTTCATTAATTATCTACTTTGACTCAATTAAATTAAATAGAAAATCTCATAATAACTCTAAGGTATAATTGGAAAGAACTTTTTTTGTAAACTTTTAAACCACACACAAAATTAGGTAAGAAACAATGAACCGAACACTTGATAAAAATAATCTCTACATTACCAATCCCTGCATTACTAATCTATGCATTACTAGTCCTTGCATTATTGATCTTTGTACCAAACAATCCCTAAATATTTTAAATATTATAGTCACAAAAATAATTACTATTGTGAATATTTAAAAAGGTGTCTTTAAGAAAATTAATTAAATTTTACGTTAAACGAAGTTAAATGCAAAGAGTAAATACTTATCAATATATTAATAATTTGATTGTAAAAATATTTTATATAATATCATATGTCGTGCATTAAAATAACTAAGTAAAATAAGTAAATAAATATCTTTTTTTCAAATCACGCAAATCAATTATATTCTTATTTATTTTGCAACTCAAACTTACACAAATCAATCATATTTTTATCTATTTTTTTGAGTCAAATTTACAATCTAATCTTCGACCGTTTCAAAGTTAAGCCTAATTTTATTTGGAAGACAGCTATGTATATTACCTATAAAATGCTGTAAAAACATGTGAAGTATGTGCCTACGTTATAAGTCGTGTCAAAGTCCATATGTTTCTTTCATGTTTAATTTACTTTATTGTACCTAATAATATTAAAAGCTGACGTTTACCATTTTGTTTCTTCTAATATTAAAAAATAGAAAATTAACTTTAAGCAACAAGCTGTTGTCCATGGGCATTTCTAATTCTACACTATTTTATTTTATAAAAATAATTTTTTTTATTTTTTCGGACAATCAATTCTAATTTAATTCATACTTTCTAAATTTTTCATTTAACGTAAATTTTTTTATTTTATTCTAAAATTTTAGATACATAATTTACAAATAAATATTATATAATATTCAAATTAGTAGACAAAAAATAGAACTGGTGTGATAAAATTATTGTGTTATTTCATATTTAAATTATTATGTTATTTATTATATTTAAATTTTATCTTTATCATTTTAATTTCATGTATTTATCATGGTGATAATTATTAATAACATCAAATCATATTAAAGTGAGAAAATAAAATAAATTTGAGATATTATTAACTCAAGATGAAAAGAATATATATTAAATAATATATTTTAAAAATATTATATTATATATAAAAATAATTAAATTTAAATATTTATTAATGATCTTATATGAAAAATGATGTGTTAGTTATATAATAATAAAATAATTAAAAAATAAAATAGAGAATATGATAATAGTTCTTCAGCCAAAAAAAAAAAAAGAAATGAAGAGTAATTAAAGAACCAATTCTCTATTTAACTCTTTAATATAAAAAAAGAAAAATAACATGGAGGTGGATTGAAGATAATCCAATATATAGTATAGTCAAATATATAAATTACCATTTTACATTTAAAGATAAGACGGTGCTAAGTACATGTAATTACACTTTAAAAATACATCTCTGTGGGTAATTACAATTTACACGAATTTAAATACAACAAAGATGTGTCATCTAATTTAGTGTTTTTATTTTATTTTGGTCAAACATGAAGTAATATATGGTTTTTCATTACTATTTTATTAAAATTATTTGGTAATTAAGTTGCAACAACTGAATCTTCTTGTTGAGAAGCTCCAAAAACGTTGTTTAAAAGCATCGCTAATCTTATTCCACCTTGTGCTACTCGTTTCATTACTATTGGAAGTCTTGAATTGAAGTAATCATCTACACAAATTAAAATAGATTAAATGTCAATTAATAATTTATTTTCTCAAATATTAGTTTGTATCCCAAACATACGTAATAAAATCGTAGACAGTCAAGTAAAAAATACCTGATAAAGTTTCACCGGCTTCAACACCTTTGTATCCCCATTTGCATGCTATATTTATACTTTCCGTTGCAAACCTAAAAACATCACATCAACAATTAATCAATTTCTCCAAGTGTAAAATCGCTATTGAAGTCATAGTCAAAGTATATATGTTTTCGTACGTTTAGTCGTTTCAAAATCAACTTCCGATTTACATAGAGAAAGAACTCACTTGTTTACGCAAGAAAAGACATTGCCACATTCTCTCCAAGAAGCAAGATCATCAGACCAAATTCCCTGAGTATGTATAAGATTTAACAAAATCAAAATTTGAACCGAAAATGTCTAGTTGGAACAGTTTATGACTTGGTTCGAATGTCTAAATGAAATGTTCTGACAAGTTTAAGAGATTGACTCTTACGTCAGTGAAGTTCCCTTCAATGTCTTCTTCAAGGAGGTTTATATCCTTCGCATAGTAGTCTTTTGCAGCTGTTAGTATTATCTCCCTATCCCACACCTATAACATTATTTTTTACAAAGGAAAACATACGTCGTTAATCATCTTTTTTCTTACTATCATAGCCAAATTTGAACGCATTAACTTTAAATCTTGGATCAAACTCGATAAGTTATATACTTACATGGTGCAAGTTTGATTTATGCCTAAACCAGCGCAAATCAATAGAATTTCCTCCAGCATCACTTGTAAATCCAACATGCATAGGCTGAAATCACAAAAACAACAAGGTAACAAGTTTTTCTAATAATCATACATTGGTTGCTATTTGTTTAACGTTTCAAATGTGAAAAAAAAAGAGTGAGTACATACTTGATGGATATCTCCCATGAAATGTGACAAAAACAGCAAAGCCTCTGTCATATTATCTGTAATTATTGACAAATTATATAGTGTCATAAGATAGTCACCCCATACAATATAAGAAATTTACCATTTTTGATCCTTACATCGACGATCAGAAGTTCCCTCTCTGTAATGAGAGAGTTGAGTAGTAAAGTTCTGAATTGCACCAGCAACACACATATCCTTTACTCCATGTTGATCATGACAGTCCCCTTCTCATCATACAAAAAAAGAAACATTATGAATTATAGGATCAAATTGTGAAAAGAGAGAATAAATACATCGCGTTTTTTGGATGCATTTGACTTACTTTCATAATCAAAGTTGCAAGCTTTATCTGGTGTATCAATGAAGTGTAGAGGGCTTGTCCATTTATACTTATACCAGTGCCTGACTTGGTCTGGCCACACACAGAGGGCCGATAAGTCACCGTTAACATATTCCGGCAACAACATCTTGACTGCATGAGCTGCCTCATCATTCAACAAGCCCTGTTTCCACATGCAATAGTTCTTATAATTTGAAGCCAAAAAAAAAAAAAACATTTTTCAAATAAATATATACCTGCGCGATTCGACAAGTCATCA